TCCCCGGCAAGAATGACTATATCAGTCCGTTTGGAGGAACGCAGAAGTTCATGTAGTTGTTGATAAAAGCTATCTTTAACTGCATCCGGGCTGCAGTCTGTAGGGGCGTAGGCGGAGACGACAAACAAGGCACGCTTAACGTCTCGACGCCTGCTTACATTACATGAACTTCTTAGTCTGACTGCACATAGTCGACTGTTGACTGGGATCCAGTCAAGCAGAGCTGATTCAGCCGTGGCACTCAGTACAACCCCAACACCAGCTTGACCAGTGGCGGCAGCTTCTGGGTCTCCGGAAAGGTGCAAGTAGTATTTGGCGTCAGCGTTTACCGGAGAGGCGATTCTGATGACGGCGCTAGAGTCTTGTAATTTGGTCTCTGAAAGGCAACAGATGTCTACCGAAAGCGTTTCAAGAGTACGGGCCAGACATGCTTGTCGTCCGATCTGCATCAAAGTTCCAACATTAAACGCTGCGAGGATGAATTAAGAACCAGGTCGAAGAAGAGCTGGAGCTTCGGTGGAGTGAGAGGCGGTTGCGATCGGAGGACATTGAAAACCGGTAGTTTGGCTGTTACTTCCATCAGCTGCAAGAGGTGGGTCGTTTGTGACGGTGACCGAACAAGACATAAGAGTACATATAGGTGAAGGACTGGAGGTGGGGTGATCTGTGAGTTGAGGTTGAGCGGTTGTGTTAGCATAGAAGATAGGCATAGCAGGGGCAGTAGTTAGCAGTGTGGTCCACGATTCGTCAGTGGGCGTGATACTACCCGGTTGCACAGGCCAAAGTAGAGGGTTGTCTTAGGGGGCCCTACCTCGAGCCTTTGATCAAAGATCTAACCTACAAGGCAGAAGGGCAATGTGAGGGCTTCGCAACCCGTTGGGAGCCGGTGACCAAATAGATAATTCATATGTCTTTCGGTCCGTGAAGGACAAGGGGCCCAACACACCTTTGAAGTACAATGCCTCTCAGGGAGAGGCAAGGGGCACTGACTTTATTTAGTGACGAGTAACATCCGCCACGTCACAGTGTTGTTAACCAGACATTTGTGGCTTTTTATAGGGAGAAAGCTTGCCAGGAGAAAACCCACCACGTCCTGGAACACTGCCGCCAAACCATTTGCTGGAACGGGAAAACCCGTCTGGATACTCCAAGTCAGGAAGTCATTTTTCTGAGAGTAGCTCCACATCTTCTAAGTCGTGTCCTGTGAACGCAACCGCCATAACTTCGTCAATAGTAAAGTTGAAGAGGAAAGGTAACAATGGGCATCCTTGTCTCACACCGCTGAAGATATTGAAGGGCGACGACAGATTGCCGTAAGCCCTCACTCTGCCCGAGCTACGTGTATAACGCCCAGATAATGTTTACATCTTTCTTGGGCAAACCTTTCCTGGCTAGACAGTCCCAAATCGCACATCGATCATCCGAATCGAAGGCGCTTTTGATATCGAGGAAAACGATAACCGGGGAGCCGACAGTAGGTGTGACGGTGCTCCAACAATTGACGCAAGGTGAGTATGTCGTTGATGCAGCCTGGGCCACGACGAACCCCGGCGAAACCACAGACTAGCGCTTTTTCGATTATGTGCTGGTTGCCTAACTGGACGTAGCTGCAACAAATCTCGTGGAACTCTACTTTAGCATGTTCAAAAACTCTCCTAAAGAAAATTAGTTCTAGTCCAAAAGATCCACGTCGTCCATGGGTTCCAGGTGTTCCAGTTATCTACTCGCTGAACATCTATGAGCTAAACAACTGGAAATAGCACATTGACCCACTTTCCGATCGTCAGATTAGTCTGGAGAGACTATTCAACTGGGTTTACATTGATGAGCCAGTTTGGTCGCATTGGAAGAAACTGCGAAGTTGTCGTGAATAATTTCTATAGAGAGCTTTCGGTTGCAGGATTATGTGCAATAATACAGTCCACTTGAGGATGTCGCTAGTAGGCAACCGCCCTGCACCTTTCTATCAGCTATAACTAGCTGGAGCTGTGATTAAAGCCATGCACCTAGAGATTAGGATTAGACCGCAGTACTGCTAGGCTACCATGTTCTATCAGCAGCGAGTATCACCGAATTTCTTCTTTTAGGCTACTTCTTAGAGGGACACTAATGGAGCATACATTTTAAGTAAACATTTTTAGGTACCGCTATCGCTGTACTGACATATGTGTAAACATATCATTCCGCTCATTTCATTAGCTGCATGTCGCCAGTGTTTCTGCTCTCGGATCGCAGTTTCTCTAGGCTGCTAACGTTTCTCTTTTTGTTCGTTGCGTGCCCCTTATTTTTTCCTTTATTGGTCAGTCTTCACTGACTTCATTCTGCTTTCAAGTCTTCAGAAATATGGTTCACTTGAATGTCTTTTAGTAGTTTCCTTCAACCCATTCTCAAAACCATTTAACCAGGCACGTTTCAATGCATACAATTCTTTACCGACACCGCATTGGAATTTTCTTCTTGCGATGTTGGAACGAAGGCGTCTCTGGTGATACAACATTACTGATCAGTATCTCCTATCTGGTCCGGCTGCTATTCACTTCAAACAGTGGTTCATTTTATGTTTGATTAGTACAACAACCCGATAAGGTGATATGCAACCCAGATATTATTATGCGTGATGGGATGAATGAATACCGTCCCGCGTCCCGTTTCGCTACCTCCCGGTTTAATACAGTTAAAAGGAAGATAAATATCCCATTGCACAGTTTTGTGTGTGTCATCGTCGGCATAGATATATGGTTGGCAGCATCCGGTTCCGGATTTGCCTGTCACTGTAGCTTCCATGGGGATAGCCACAGGACGCCTGCGCCTACAGAGGGACCATGGGTGACTTGGGCTGCACCACCCACAGCTCCAACCACACACCCCATATCCGGTGTAAACCCGAAGGATTAAGACCGGGAGACATGTGGATGGGAGCCACGTTTCATCAACGCAGCCGGCCCACACTCCTTGAGCATGCGCAGAAACAGCAGACGTACACAAGACGGTGGCTGAGCCGTAGTCTACTTCACATTGGATGGAAGCACTCTTTGAGTATAAAACAAACACGACCATCGTTCACCCCGTCCCCAGCATCGGTTCACAGTCTCCTGGAGCCAGTAATCGAGGTGGAGGTTGTTAGACAGGTAAGCACCTTGTCGAGATTTACACTAAGCGCAGTCACACTGGGGATGGAACAATGGTTTATTAGGGGGTAAAAATGCATCACTTAACAAGTCCCGTGGGATGGAAATTATTGCGAAAATCAATTGCATGTTAAAGTGAAAAGCGTTGTGGTGGACTCACCATAGACTTATGTGGAATAGCGAAGATGTTCGCGTATCAAACGTATAAATCCATAAATCCATTGGTGAGGCTTTTGGCAAGACAACGTTTGATTGCGTTTTGTAGCCCCTGGCTAACAGGTCATAACATGAAATGTAAGTGAGAAAATGCATCGTCAACACATATCTTAAATATCACCAGATTGGGAGCAGAGACGAGATAATTAGGGAGGGCGTTCCAAGGCTGGCACACGCGGAGGGAAAAGAAATTTCTACGGCATTCAAGCCGGCTATAATGAATTGTCAGTTTCAGAGGGTGACCTCTTAGTTTAGTGTTGTGGTTCAATTCCAGCAGCGGACGGCAAACGTGGTTTGGGTTCTTCGTGATCTTATAAACCATTACGAGATCCCCCCGCAAAAGCCGATATCGACTGCTGTACATTCATAGAGATTTCAGTCTAAGCTCAAAGGGCAGATGAAACAGATCCCTGACGTTCTTGGTTGCCCGTCGTTGAGGAGTCTCGAGAGCAACGAGGTCCTGTTTCTGCCACGGCTGCCACGCCACGTTAGGTCGCACGTGGGCGTAAAGCATTTGGGGAAAGATTGAAGGTTCATACCGACCGTAGGCTCTGCGAAGAAGCTCGAAGTGTTGATTACCGGTTCTCGTCGCCTTCTCTGCTTGTTTTGAACACCCGAGATCCTCATGTATGCTCCTTGTTGCTAATTCCGCCACAGCTTACGTGCTGTGTAATACGAGCTGCCACAATGGCTCAGTACGAGACCATCCGACCCATCGCCAGGCTGTTGGACGATAGCACGACAACAAAACCGCTGGTGAACCAGTACTATCAATCGCTTCCGTTGGTAACTTACCTGTTCATCCGCACTCGTATCCCTAAACTTCTCCTGTGCTTTGGACCACATGGGTTCGTTGCGTATCACGCGGTCCACTTTGGGGTCGAGTCTGCGGCCACTCCAAAGGGAACAGTAACAGGTGTGACGCTGTGCGCGGGTGCAGTCGTATGGACGCTTGCGGTCATGTCGATTTGACGGTTTGACTTCAGAGAGAACGCCTCGCTTTTCCTTCAGGCGCACATTGGTGCTGCACGGAATGTGCCGGTAGGTTTAAACAAGAACACATTTTGGAACGATTGTTATTGTTCAGGGTCAAGTTTGGACTACATGTTGTGTGATTGGATTGCGACGGGCAATCTCAATGTGGACCGCGATTCTCATTGAAGTGAATCTTAGTCACTGTGATCACTGGACCGTAGCTCAAAGCAGATGGAAATTGGTGTTGCCCACCCGAAAACACTGCACAACCACGACGCGTTTCGATGTACATTTCATCTCATCAGGTGGAGACAGCGCATGTTGACAGCAGGCTTGCGGTTTCGTTGTACGATTAGCTCGGTTGGTCGTTCGCCTATCTGTGGATTGCAATCGGTGTACCAGCACAGTTCTATGGTGTCGAGGGTAATCAGCCAATCGGAGACATAATACGTGATTGGTCATGCTGCTAATCTGGCGTAAGCAGGTTTCGCTTCCACGCGAGCGATATAACATCTAAGTGAGTAGTAATAAGAAGCGGATTGGTTGTTTGTGTTGAAGCTGCAACGCTTGCAGGCTGTTGGAAGAGAAGTTTTGAAGGCTTACGGGTGGACTGTACGGTTGCCTTCCTTGCTCGCTTGCCTAGCTGGCCACACGTGATACGGTTTGCATAGTGCAATCGTGTCACTGCGGGCAACCTGGAGAATCGATACATGTACGAGTTCGTTTAGGAAATGTATGTTAAGACAGTGTAAGGTAATCAGAAACAATGTAGTACTTCGTATGAAGGAGGTAAAGCTAGGATTAGTTCGCAAATAGAAATTTTAAAGTCTTTACACCTACAAGGTTCCCCTGCTTTCTTGTTTCAGTTGGGCGCACACTCATGTGAATAGTGTAGTTAAGTACTGTTGGTGCAGTCGGCGCATTGTATACTAAGGTTAATTTCGCTGGGCAGGTAAGAGCATTATTGGATCTGTAGCCATTGTTCCAAATAGGAGGGCCCCTAGTGTGGCGGTGACACGACGTTACTGAGTGTTGGTGCGTCTGCACACCTGTGGGCCACTTCGTTAATCAGTTACTGCTTCAGTGCCAATGGACCTGCCATGATTTAAAAGTCGTAATATGCATGTCGATCCTGCGTTTCAACATGATATTTGCGCTTCACTTCCATGTGATTGATAAGCTTGGAATACTAGGTGATCCTACGGCCCTGATATTACCCGCCAACAAGCACTGAATACTCATTGTAAGCAAAAGGTTTGGAGCAATTTTCCTCCTTCTACAATGCCTTCGGAATTACCTACTTCCCAATGACAAAATGTTTCCGAGTAGTTGCCAAGTGGATAACAATATGTGTCATGGTGTGCACCCATGACTGCTTCTAAGATTGGCTGAAACAATGGTTCATAGCAGGATTGGTGGAGACGGTTGCCTTTGTAAATGATTGCAAACATGCTGTATGAACGCCCGTGAATGAGACAACAGCGTTTGTCTGTTCCAAGTACTCACCAGAATTACCAGAGTAGAATGCGTGCGCTGCTACTAATTAACGGCCATTGCATTTTCTCCTGTAGCACTATGTGGCAGTATTCTTTGTAGTCCCTTTAGGTGTTTCTGTTGGGTAGTAGCTATTCCATGAGGATAACATTCCAGTCCATGGACGTAATAGTGAGGTTCCATCTGCATTGACTATGCTTGTACTGGTGTCATTTGGAGAGCCAAGTATCAAAGCGTCTCAATATCTATGGGCGACCATATGGAAGTAAAGCCTAATTACCCTATGAATACATAGGTTCCGCATCCTTTCTATGACGTTTAACTAACGCCATACCAGTTGACACTGAAGCGCTAACTGATTAACAAAGTCGCCCATGGGTGTGGAGACAAACGAACACTCACTAATGTCGTGTCACCGCCACACTTAGAATCATTTTAGTTTGCGTTTAGTCATCCACTGTGATAGAACGTAGAACATTCATTGTTCAGCTTCAGGTTGGTCTACCTAGTTCAATGGGAACAATGTGCCCCATGGCCGTCGCAATAACAATCGCACAAAATTGTCTAACGACCTAGCAGCCATTGCTGATTCAGCTTAGGGTGCACATTGTCCAAGCCATGCCGCCTGCCTGACTAACTCAGACCTAAGGGACTGCGGAATACCAGTTAGGAGAATGCATGTCTACGCCACCATCGTGGTGATGGTTAGGCTGCTGAAATAAGCTACCACCAGGTAGCGGCTAGCGATCAATAATTATAGACCGCTTCATGCGGTGATTGGTATGTCTGTCCGCATTGGTTAGGGCGTAAGCTTCGGATCATGTGATAGCTAGGATCTCCTCCTTACACTGGCATTACAACTTGCCAATTGGACGGTTTCAGTTTGGGGATAAATCATCGGGGTTTCCTTCAGACGCTCACCAGGGTAGCACAGAAGGTAGTGCTTGACCACATCCATTGGACTGTCTGTTAGTTATGCTCGGGGCTTCCAACCTGTGTCCCTTTGGCTAACGTTCCATGACCAATGAGAGTATCAAAGACGCCAAAATAGCGTTCTTCGCCACGCTAACTTGAAAGCACAACACTCGATTTCGAAAATATGCCAAGCTATAATGTTGGTACAATGCGCTAACACATCCGTAAAATCTTTTTATGCAATAATTGGGTGACAACTAGATATAGTTCTTTAACATAACCGAGTATAAAATTGATGCGGAGGAAAACTAATGGGTTGGGTTTATACAAATTGCACTGCTGAAGATAAAACGGAGGTGAGGGTCCATTAACAATGACGTGTGTGTGCTAATCGGGCTAACACAGTGCAGCTTTAAAACAACAGTCAAGATGTCGCAAATAAGAAGAATAAAGAAAGACTATTAAGCACGTTCCCAAAATCCAATGTCAAATCGCTAGTCTCTTAACGTGATATATATATATATATATATATATATATATATAAACCATCACTTTGAAGCGGTCATACATGGCCAACGATAGCTGTAAGAACAGCCCGCAGCCTTTAGCGTGCTTATTCATACATCGGAATGTGTACAATAGTATAAAGTAGCTTTTCGCCATATATTAGCTCAGCAAGCTTGATGTGGATTCTATACTGTACCTGACGTTTGCACTCACCCATCATAATCCACGCTACAGGGTTCGACTCATCGTGCATAACCGCAGACTCCAAGTAGTTCGTCGCTTCCTCTACGCGCTCTTGCATCGCAGCGATTAGGCCACAGAGCAAAAGGCTTGACGGGACACGCAGAACAAGGGATTGGAATTAGTTTATATGAGAATAAAGAGGTGAATTAGTGGAAATGAGCTGATAAAGGTGAAATCTACATCAACTAGTCACACAAGATTGTGACAGTGCATCAGAGATAAGCCTCCATCATCATGATCAACGTATTTTTGCCCACCATGACCATATGATGTTTACTAGTTATTTTAGATCCGCTTTATAACGTGGAATCGTGTTACGGACGTAATCGCTGGCGATGAAACAAGTCACAGCCGCTAACTACGTGCATGTACTCATATGACTGTGTCGTATCCTTGACTGCATCGATCAATGGCTAGACACCGGTCTTGTTTTATGATTGGTTTGTTTGTCGTATTTGTTCCTCTCTTGGTTCTATCTAAGAGACAGAATGCACATTCACGCGTGCCATCCAAGTCTGTGTTTTCCATACCTTTAACAGGCTACTTGTCCATACACGGAATATGAATACCCAACCGGTAATTAAGGAATTGACCTCTCGGTCTTATAACTGCTGATATTTAGTTCTGTCATGAACAGTTTTTATAAGTAGCATGTTGCATACCGAAGCTCAATGTAAAGAAAACAGCGAATAGAGCACTTTGTACAGTTATGGGACAGAACCAGTGTTTAATAACGCCGCTTTCCGCAGTTGCCTTTGCCTACAAACAGTCACAGAATGTCCGCGTCTAGCCTGACTCGAAATATGCCTCAAAGCGCGTGAACATTGCTTAGTTCCAATGGTAAATAAAAAATAATCAACGTTGAAGAATCTCCGTGCCGTCGGCAGACATCACAATCTGCGTTGTTGCCATCAGACTGCCGGATAGCCCTCCGCTAGTCTAAACAAAGACTGGGCAGCCATTCAAAAATCCGTTATTGTGGAACAAAGGATCATTTTAGCTTGTACACGGACTTGAAACAATGTTTCACTGGTTAATTGTTCTTAACCATCTACCTGAATTTAATGGCTCGCGCTCCACTCCCATCTTGGCTGGAACAAAGTTGCAGTTTGTTGACAACACATCACCCCACTTTTGGGCTGTCCAACCTGCCCGCGCGAATGTGGTCAGCTTGCGCCAGCGCGTTGATTGGGTTTACAGCTGCTGGTTACTCGTCTATTCTTCTCGCTCGGTCTATCAGCCACCATAGTTTTATGTGCAGGGTCAGCGTTGAGTGAAGGCAACTCACTTGACTTTCTCCAGGACCAAAGCGGCGCTTGACTCACAACACGGCAAATCTATTTCTCACTGTGCATCCGACCCGTGAGATCGTGGTCATCTTGCCCTGGCGGCACTGATCGGCTTTTCAGTTTAGTGGCCGCACGTCCGTTTCTCTCGCATAACCAGCTAGTTACCATCATACTAACCACATAGGAACGAGATGAAAATGTATGACACCACTGAAGGGCTTTTCGCGACGCCATGGTGCGGAACACGTAGACGGCTGAATCTTTAGATAGCTTTGACACAACTAACTTTGTGATCTAGCTTTCTGGCCAACTGGAAAGCACTTTGGAGGGTCATTTCGAAGCATATGTTGTGTGATTGGATTGGGGCACGCGAACTGCGATTCGCCTCAAAGTCAATCTTAGTCAGTTCGCTCACTAGGAACATAGTTGAAATATATGGAAAACGGGTTTTGATCGCCCGAAAACACCGAACCCCACAATGCGTCTCGACCTTAGTTGATCTCATCAAGTGGGGACATCAGACTTAGAACCCGGGACCATTGGGTTAGGACGGGTAACTATTGGCACGGCGGTTAATGTCTGATTGGAGGGCCATTTTGAAGTACATGATGTGTGCTTCACATGTGGACCATGATCCGCAATGAACTGAACTTTGGTCAACCCGATCACCGGACTCAAACCATACTATCTCCACCAACTATGATGGACTAAGGTCGAAACGTGTTGTGGTGCGCGGTGTTTTCCACCCGGTAACACCCAATTTTCATCTACTCAAACGTTTAAGCGGCAATGCAAGGTGCCAACTGTTAACGATGAGGCAGGTGAATTACCCATATGTCGACTGCAATCATCTGTTGTCTGGACGTCTGGTGGATGCTGACACAAATAAATGGAGCTTTGCACCAAATGTTGAGTTCAGACGAGGAACTAAAAGACCTGAACAGCAACTTCGTCGATTTGGTATGAATTCCACCGTACGCTTATCCTCCCTATGATTATAAACTGTTACACTTATTACCTACCCTCAACAGCTAAACGGCGCGTACAATAATGTTGCAGTTGTATTCGAGCAAAGCAAGTGCCCCGGAAGGACAGTCTGTCGCTGTCTTCAAGGAGTTCGCTGATTTCTTGGTCCAGTCGCTTACTAGTTTATGTATATCTAACATAAAGAGCAAAACATTAATAATTGTTGGACAGGTGCTATCATCACACTAACGGGAAGGAGAGGTTTAATCAGACATTGGCGTGTTGCTTGACCCCGTAACTCTGAGGGTTTTGAAGCCTGTTCTTCTTCAAAGTTTGCCGACCCGAAAGTATTTAAATGAGCTTCTTAAACTTACTTGTATTAGCTCGAGGTCTACGCAAGACACCTTGGCTGACAAAGTAGATTCAGCGTTGGCATTTCTTGACAACAGAATCTAATCTACGCAAACATACTCCCTCGAATGGTGTGACACCAGACACCAGTTTATCCTACTTGGGATAAAAGTTCCTCGCCGCTCCCTACAGCTGCCAGTGTTCTCCAGGGAGACATGCTGTTGACATATAAAGTATGCATCTACTTCGGCTCACGACCTGCCCTTGATGAACCATTCTCACTGGGTTTTGCAGACAACGTGGCACTGAACATCAGACATGGAATGATATCCTCATATGACAAGTCATTAGTCTTGCTTGACAACATTACCTGGTGGTTAACATTCGTGGTTCATGTCTTACTGCATTGAAATTCAATGAGGTTCTTTTTCCCTACACATAGAAGATAACTGTCAGCAATTATTCATGGGTTGCCTTAAAATTCACATGGATAGTGCAGCGTTAAATTGCTTTACGCCAGTGAAGTATCCAGGTGTCACATAACTACGATCTCAAGAGAGATCGGAAAGCGATGACCATTTCCGGACAGGCAAGCTGCGGCCTAACTCGACGCTCCCTAAAGCCTTGGGTCTGCTCGTTCTCTGGAGCTGTTCGAACGCCGCAAAGATATCCCCGCGGAATCAGATTGCAACGAGCGGCGCCGTTCTGCCAACCGACTGCTCAAGCAAAGCCTACACAAGGATCGTGAGACATGGTGGTCTGAGCGTGCTTTAGAGATGGAGACCGCTGTCCTCTCGAGCAACATGCAAGTTTTCCAACTCATTCGGTCCACTGGCCTCAGGAAGCCTGGTGTCAGTGAGGTCATTGTGAGGTGGATGAGTCACCGATTACCAACCAACAAAGGCTTATGGACCGATGGGCCGAGCATTTTCACTCGCAGTTCAACTGACCTCCACCATCCATCAGTACATGCAGAACACCTTGTTGTCCACCTTGGCTCGTCCCTCTGAATCCATGCAGCAAAGCGGAAGTCCGCCTCGAGATTCGACGCTTGAAGCGCTTCAAGGTTGCCGGCTTAGACGGACTTCCTCCGGAACTATTCAAGTACGGCGGTGTGGTGATCATTAAGCAGCTGACCGCGCTGTTCGCAAAACTCTGGCATGAAGAGAAGGTGCCTTCCTCTTGCGGCGAATCAGTTATTGTCCCGATTTTCAAGAAAGGCACTCGCGCTTCATGTGTAAATCATCGCGGGGTCAGTCTTATTTCGGTTGCCTTTAAGCTATTGGCATCCATTCTGCTTCGCAGACTATCCCTCGTACGTGAAACATACTACCGTGAAGAACAAGCTGGTTTCCGTCCCGACCGCAGATGCCTGGATCAAATCTTCACGCTCCGCCAGCTCCTCGAACATTGCCACAATTATCACAGGCCCACTATCGTTGCAGTCCTAGACATACGTGCCGCTTTTGACTCCGTTGATCGATCTGCTTTATAGCGTTACTTGCTAAAGAACGGGGTGCCAGAGAAATATACCGCCATCTTACGAGCACTTTACCTTCATACATCCGGCGGAGTGAGTGTCTATGGTAAGCTTTTCTCACAATTCGCTGTCACTAGCGGTGTGCGACAGGGCTGACCTGTGTCCCCATTCCTCTTCAACTTCGTAATCAAAGACGTTGTGTCGAATGCTCTAGAAGAATTCCAACATTTTGGCGTAGAGCTTCTACCGTGTAAGCGCGCAACCGACTTAGATTATGCTGATGATATCGCCTTACTTGATGACGATCCTCAGGGTATGCAAGTCATTCTGGATCGCTTGGCGGTTGAAGCATCTAAGTATGGCATGAGCTTCGCCCCATCGAAGTGTAAAGTATTGCTCAAGGATAGGCTTTCATCTGCTCCCGTGCTCACTCTCGAAGGTTCACAACTTTAACTGGTACATAGTTTTGCCTAAATTGGAAGCTGTGTTTCTGCTGACGGCACTACTAACAAAGAAGTTTCGCTTCGCATCGCTAAAGCTCGATCAGCATTTGTCAATCTGAGGCACTTATGACATCGTCGCGATGCTTCATTCTCGCTAAAGGACCGCGTTTACAGTGCATCAGTTTGCTCAGTATTGTTGTTTAGGTGCGAGTCCCGACCGATTCTCGTGGAAGACATGCCTCGTCTTTCCGCCTTCGAGAACAGTTGCTTAAGGAGGATTGCTCGTGTTTGGTGGCAACATCGAGTTTAACAGAAAACTGCATTGTTGACACCTCCCTTCAGGGCGATGGTGATGTCGTGGCAGCTCCGCAAGGGATGAATTTGAGCAAAAGCATCTCCAGCTTTTGCTTCGCGGTCCGTGACCATTTTATTTCACAGGGACTAATATAACTGCCTAAGTACTTAAATTCCCGATCCCTGTCAAGAATAGGCGTTAGCCGTGCTAAGTTGGCAGCAGCAAGAAAAGGTGCAGTATGCCCAACAAATAATGCGGAGCA